CAGTGGTTGAGAATGCCCTCCACCGTGTCTCCCGCATTTCCCGCAACCCATCCCTCACACCCCGCCCTGCAATAACAGCCAAAAAAGAATCCCCCTCGTCCTCACGTATCACCCCACCAACCTCCGGATCCAACGCATCATCCTCCAACACTTCTGCCATCTGCAATCCGACGTCCCCACCCTTATCTGCTTTCCGGAGGGACCACTCTCTCCGCGACTCCCTTGTCCGCTCCACAGTCCCCTCCAGCCCCACCATACCCGGCACTTTTCCCTGCAACCGCAGTAAGTGCTACACCTGCCCTCACACCTCCTCCCTCACCCCCATCCCAGGCCCCAAGAAGACTTTCCACATCAAGCAGATGTTCACCTGCACATCTGCTAATGTGGTATACTGCATCCGCTGTACCCGTTGTGGCCTCCTCTACATCGGGGAAACCAAGCGGAGGCTTGGGGACCGCTTTGCAGAACACCTACGCTCAGTTCGCACTAGAACAACTGCACCTCCCAGTCACGAACCATTTCAACTCCCCCTCCCATTCCTCAGACGAGATGTCCATCCTGGGCCTCCTGCAGTGCCACAACGACGCCACCCGAAGGTTGCAGGAACAGCAACTCATATTCCGCTTGGGAACCCTGCGGCCCAATGGTATCAATGTGGATTTCACAAGCTTCAAAATCTCCCCTCCCCCTACCGCATCCCAAAACCAGCCCAGCTCGTCCCCGCCTCCCTAACCTGTTCTTCCTCCCAACTCAAGCCACACCCCCATCTCCTACCTACTAGCCTCATCCCGCCCCCTTGATCTGTCCGTCCTCCCTGGACTGACCTATCTCCTCCCTACCTACCTCCCCACCTACACTCACCTTTACTGGTTCCATCCCCACCTCTTTGACCTGTCTGTTTCCTCTCCACCTATCCTCTCCTCTATCCGCCTCCCCCTCTCTCTATTTACTTCAGAACCCCCTTCCCCTCCCCCATTTCTGATGAAGGGTCTAGGCCTGAAATGTCAGGCTTCCTGCTCCTATGATGCTGCTTGGCCTGCTGTGTTCATCCAGCTCTACACCTTGTTATCTCACGTATTCTAAACTCATTTTCCTGCACTCTGCCTTGTATGTCTTTTACTTTATTCCCTAACAAGTCTGTCTTAAAAAAAAAAACACACACCAATACCTTGCATCTGCAAAGCTGGCCGTTACTAAGTGCTGTACTCCATTCAGCTCAACATTTCTCTTCATCAGCGCCACCGCTTTCTCGGAAAAATCATTTGCCACAATACTGTGAATTCCGGGAACTTCCTTGGCAAATCGGATTGAGCGAAGTCCAGATGCTGCCAATCCCTCTAGAACTCGAATCCCATCCTGCACACAGTAATCAGACTCAATAAACAGAGGCTCCATCAGGGAGTATACGCCTGAGACACTTCAAAAACAGACTCGCGCAGCAGCAAGGTTCTCAAGAGCACCAGCTCGCAATCCAAATAGACATCTTTCCCTGTCTCACTTCAGTGAGCACACTAAATTCCATACAGTCAAAAACTCTTCCTGCATCCCATTCACACTTGCCCTTATTCAGGAGGCCAATGATTATGCAACTGCTCTACTGTGCAAAGTGGCAATTTGGTCTCTCCTGCAGTCCTGCTGCTCCACCCCACCCCGACCAGATCCTCAGGGCCACTTCACTCCTACCTCAGTCTACCTGTTGCCATAGCCCTCGCAATGAAAAAAAATGAAGTGTTCAGCTCAGCAGAGGAGTTGCTCTGACCCAAGCACAGGAGGTGACAGTCCCTGCTGCCCCAAGCTGACAGCAATCACCAATCAGATAATCCCTGTCTCGGCCCTTTTCAGCAGCAAGCATTCCGAAGTGAGAAACAAGGCCCCTGGGTTACTTTCTGCTTCCCTCCTATCCATGCCCGAAGGCTGCTGAAGCCAATTACAGCCCCGTCCAAACCCACAAATAAGTTTAATTTAATTAATGTAGATGTACACAGATATAAATCAGGTAATTGGTTGTGTTGGAAGTGTGAGAAGTTAGAGCTCTGAGCAGGGAAGTATCTTAACCTCTGACGTTTAGCAGCAGAGACTAAAGATCAAATCACAGATCTCCTGCTCTGGGCCAGGTAGGTTTTTTCCCCCCACACCTACAGCATTGAGCAGGATAGCTATTAACTTCACTTGAATTACTTGCTCCACTCCCTGGCAACTCAATGCTAATGAGCTCCAATACGTCTAGTATCCAACCAGAATGAGTGATTTCATTTTGTATCTGACACACATCACTTCCCCTTCCCACAGCATTGCAAAGAAAGTCCCAGGATCCTGCAGTATTTACAGCAACTGCATATCAGCATGCTTTCCTGTAACTGGGACTGAAACATAGAACTGCATAACAAGGAAGTAGGTCCAAGATTCAAGAAGATCTAAAAATCAGGAAGTTCTAAATTGGAGCAAGGCCAATTTTGATGGTATTAGGCAAGAACCTTCAGAGGTTGACTGGGGGCAGGTATTCGCAGGTAAGGGGACGGCTGGAAAGTGGGAAGCCTTCAAAAATGAGATAATGACAGTCCATAGACAGTATGTTCCTGTAAGTGTGAAGGGTAAGGCTGGTAGGTGTAGGGAATGCTAGATGACTGGAGAATGAGGTTTTGGTCAAGAGTAAGAAGGAAGCATATGTCAGGTATAGACAGCAGAGATCGCATGAATCCCTAGAAGAGTAGAAAGGCAGTAGGAGTATACTTGAGAGGGAAATCGGGAGGGCAAAAAAAAAAAAAAAAGGGGGACATGAGATAGTTTTGGCAAATAGGGTTAAGGTGAATCCAAAGAGATTCTACAAATACATTAGAGACAGAAGAGTACTAGGGAGAGAATCAGGCCCCTTAAAGATCAACCACAGGAATTGGGCAAGATACTAAAATGTGTATCTTACATTAATGTTTACTGTGGAGAAAGATATAGAAGATATAGAACGTGGGGAAATAAATAGCCACATCTTGAAAAGTATCTATATTAGAGGTGGTGGTGCTGGACACCTTAAAACATATAAAGGTGGATAAGTCTCTGGGACCTGATCAGGTGTACCACAGAATGTAGCTTTGCCCTGGGAAGTGAGAAGAGATTGCTGGGCCCCATGCTGAGATATTTGTATCGATAGCCACAGGTGGGGTGCTGGAAGACTGGAGAGTGACCAATGTGGTGCCAATATTTAAGAAAGGTGGGAAAGAAAAACCAGGGAACTATAGACTAGTGAGCGTGACATCGGTGATGGGCAAGTTGTTGGAGGGAATCCTGAGGGACAGGATTTACATGTATTTGGAAAGGCAAGGACTGATTAGGGATAATCAACATGGCTTTGTGTGTGGGAAACCATGTCTCACTAACTTGATTGAGTTTTTTTTTAAAAAAGGTGACAAAAGATTGATGAAGGCAGGGCGATAGAAGTTGTCTATATGGACTTCAGTAAGGCATTCGACAAGGTTCCGCACGGTATACTGGTTAGCAAGATTAGTTCACATGGAATACAAGGAGAGCTAGCCAATTGGATACAAAATTGGCTCAAAGCAGACAGAGGGGGGTGGAGGAGGATTGCTTTGCAGACTGGAGACCTATAACCAGCAGTGCGCTGTAGGGATTAGTAATGGGTCCGCTGCTTTTTGTCATCTATACAAATGATTTAGATGTGAACAATGTAGTATGATTAGTAAATTTGCAGATGACACCAAAATTAGAGATCTAGTGGACAATGAAGAAGGTTACCTCAGATGGGCCAAGGAGTGGCCGATGGAGTTTAATTTAGATAAATGGGAGGTGCTGCATTTTGGAAAGGCAAATCAGGCCAGGACTTGTACACTTAATGGTAAGTTCCTGGGGAGTGTTGCTGAACAAAGAGACCTTGGAGTGCAGGTTCATAGTTCCTTGAAAGCAGAGTCAAAAGGTAGACAGGATAGTGAAGGCAGTGTTTGGTATGCTTGCCTTTATTGTTCAGTGCATTGAGTATAGGAGTTGGGAGGTCATGTTGCAGTTGTACAGGATATCGATTAGGCCACTTTTGGGATACTGCATTCAGTTCTGGTCTCCCTGCTTTAGGGAAGAATGTTGTGTAACTTGAAAGAGCTCAGAAAAGATTTACAAGAGTGTTGCCAGCGTTGGAAGGTCTGAGCTGTAGGGAGAGGCTGAATAAACTGGGGCTATTTTCCCTGGAGTGTTGGAGGCTGAGGGGTGACCCTATGGAGGTTTATAAAATCATGAGGGGCATGGATAGGGTAAATAGTCAAGGTCTTTTCCCCAGGGTGGCAGGAGTCCAAAACTAGAGGGCATAGGTTTATGGTGAGGAGGGGAAAGATATAAAAAGGGATTTAAGGGACAACTTTTTTTATGCAGAGGGTGGTGCGTGTACGGAATGACCTGCCAGAGGTGGTGATGGAGGCTGGTACAATTACAACATTTAAAAGGCATCTGGATGGGCCAAAAATGCTGGAAAATGGGACTAGATTAATTTAGGATATCTGGTTGGCATGGACAAGTTGGATCGAAGGGTCTGTTTCAGTGCTGTACATCTCTGTGACTAAGCTTTTGGATAGAAGCATGGGTGTGTGTAGCACAGTGGTCACATCATTAGAAAAATAATCCAGAACCCAGGGACATGGGTTGAAATCGCTCCAGGAGAGCTTGGAACTTAAATAACAAGTGTGGACTAAAAATCTAGTCTCAGTTATGGTGATTGTGGAATTATCAGATTCACGCACAGAACGTGGAATCCCTGCAGGGCAGATAAAGGCCATTCAGCCCATCAAGTCTGCACCCACCCTAGCCTCACATTTCCCACGCTCACCCACTGAGCCTGCACATCCCTGGACACTATGGGCAATTTACAATGGCCAATGCACCTTAACCTGCACATCTTTGGGCTCCAGGAGAGATTTCTGACAAACCCATCCTGTGTGACCCACAGACCTCTGAAATGGCCAATCAAACCACTCGGCTGTGGTCAAGGTGGTAGCTCACCACCACCACCTTCTCAGGGGCAGTTAGAGATGGACAGTAAACACTGGGCCTCAGTTGTGTGGCTCACACCCAGAATGGAAAGAACCAGGCTAAGCGACAATCGCCTCACCTCACATTTCTCCCCGATAGTGGCCGTTCTCTTTAACACTGAAGCATCTCCCGATCCTGCTGCAGTTCCAGCAGTTTCATTCTCCATCAAGTTGACAACGATTTGCTGCCTTTCCTCCTCTCCGGGGATTCGCACTGTGCAAAATATTCCAAGGCTGGTTAGTACTGTACTGTAGTGTGCACCACCCCCCCAACCCACTGTTAAAGACAGGCCAAACACCCACTGACCTTGAATCCCCTTGGACAGCAACTGCTGTCGGGCAAACTCGGTCATGACAGCACACCTGAGGGAGGGACAGAGAGACAGAAGCAATTACTGCATGGTGGCCTTAACACCCTCCCATATCCCATCCCACAAACCACTAAGTGATTTCCTTCCCTACTCAAGGGTATAAATCCTGTTGGGGGGAACAAGTGAGCTAACGTAGTTTACCACTCTAACACATCACCCAACCCTTTAATTGCCACAGCACATGCACTCTGGGGATCCTGAACTCACCTTACCTCACTGTCCCTTACTCAACTTCAATGCTTTCAAAAAAATTCCTGAGTAGTCTCATTTCAAACTCTCAGGTGATTCAGTTCACAGCCTATTGCTACCTAAAATCCCATTATACATTAAATCAAACTTGTTGCGGTACTCCCCAATAATGACACAGCCAAGACGGCAAAATGTCAGAGTGCCTCTGGCTCCAAGATAAAGTTGGGGCATCATCCTTGAATGACTTTCACAGGCAGCAATGTACAGCTTTCCTCCTGACCAATATTACCCCCCACTCCCAGGATTAGGGAAGCCCACAAAATCCCACAAAGGACCAGATCCCAATTGCATCGGATGTCAGCGCAAGAGTTTACAGTCTGAATGTTGTTTCATTCATACAAACAGACATTTTGAAATACCTTTGGCTAAACTGGTTTGTGAATTTGATGAAGGGGCAATATCAAGTTACAACTGGGATTAGAAATTATACCGGCTGGAACACACTCACATCAGCTGGGTGCAATACGACAGCAATTATATATGCATTCCTTCAGCTTTCAAAACTAGCTGCCAGTAGTTCTAATATATTTGTTTCTACAGTGTTACTAGAGCTTGATATTGTTTTTCAAAAGTGCAAAACATGAACTCGAGCAAACAAATACCTAACTATAGTCCATCAGAATCATTTAATTAAGGGTCTGAGATCAAGACGTGCTCCATGTTAATATGCCCACAACAGCAGGTGCTTACGTGAGGTCACGGTTAAACTCTTGCACAGGGTTATAAAACACTTCATTCGCACTGGGGAAAATAATTTTCGCCTTCCCCTCATTTATAACAGTCTCTGTGTTTGTCGTTCCCGGAGGAGTTGTGCTATTTGGTAAACAGTCTTCAGCAGCCTCCAAAAGGCTGACGTTTTGACACTGCCCACTGCCTTTGCTGGTGCACATCGGGTTTGGCTCCGCGTGCACTTCCTCTCCGGTTTCCATCATGGAGCTGCTCCCTGCAGTTACACGAAACTGAGACTCTGTCTGCACTGCTCTCCTTGTCACCATCCAAGTGACACTCAAAGTGCGAGGAACAAAGTATCTGAGCACTCTGTTTACCAGCATTCAGCAACTAGCTAAGCTGTGGTTTTAACTCTGTGGGAGAAAAAAAGCAAGAGATAATGAGAGGATGACATACTGGAGAAGATAACATATTAAGTGGAATATTAGCAATGTGTATTCCAATTAAAAGGCTAGAATGCAGGTACAAGCAATTAGGAAAGCTAATATTATTTATGGTGAGGAGAATTAAGTACAAAATAGGAAGGTTAAGCTTCAGTTAACTAGGACACTGGCAAGACCACTGCAGGAGTACTGTGCGCAGTAATAGTCTCTATTTAACATATAAAACGGGAGCAGAGTAGGCCATTCAGCCCTTCGAACCTGCTCCACCATTCATTATGATAATGGCTGATCAGCCATTATCAATAGCCTGTTCCTGCTCTGCTCCCCACCCCCACAAAATGCTATATCCAACTCCTTAAAATCATACAATATTTGACTACTTTCTGTGGTAGCAACTTCCAAAGGCCATCAATCTCTGGCTGAAGAAATCTATCCTCTTCTCAATCCTAAATGGTTTAACCCATATTGTTATAGTGAGAGCTCTGGTTCTGGACTCACCTGCCATTGGGAACATCCTCCCTGCATCCAACCCCGTTTGAATTTAATAGGCTATCAGATCTACCATCCTTCTTCCTAACTCCAGCAAATATAATCTTAACTGATTCAACCTCGCCTTACACATCAGTCCCACCATCCCAGGAGTCAGTCTGGTAAACCTTTGTTGCACTCCCTCTATGGCAAGAGCATCCTTTCTCAGACAAGATGAAAATAACATAATACTCTAGGTGGTGTTCTCACCAAGGTTCTGTAAAATTGCAGTTAGACATCCCTGCTCCTGTTTTTGAATCCTCTTGCTGTGTAGAGCGCATACCATTTGCCTTCTTCACCACCTGCTGTACTAGCATGCTTACTTTCAATGGCTAGTATACAAGGGCACTCAGGTGTTGTTGCATAGTTCCCTCCCTCAATTTATGGTCAGATAATAAACTGCCTTCCTGTTGTGCTAACAAATTGGATAACCTATTTATCCAGATTATTATGCATCTGCTATGCATTTGCCCACTCACTAAGTATTGAAGTTTCTCTACATCCTCCTTACAGTTCACCCGCCCACCCATGATTTATATCATTTGCAAATTTGGAGATATTGCATTTAGTCCCTTTATCTAAATCATTAATATTAGTTGTGAATAGCTGGGATCCAACCATTGATCCCTGCAGTACCCCACTGGTCACTATCCTAATGGCAGGCAAAGGAAGAATGTAAATGTGTGGAAGTAGTTTGAGAGAAGGTTCACTTGATCTAGAAGGGACACACTGGTCTTACGGAGGAAAGGTTGGACAGACTAGGCTTGTATCTGCTAAGAATAAGACGTGACATGATTAAAACAAGATCATGAGGAGTCTTGAAATGTTAGTTGTGGAGAGAATGTTTCTTCTGCACAGAAACAGTTATTGTTTAAAAACATAAGGGGTCACCCATTCAAGACAAAGGATTTTGAAAAAAAAAAGGTTGCATATCTTTCCAACTCTTCCTCAAAGGCTTTGGAGATGGATAGATTCTTGATAAGCCAGGGGTGGTAATCAGATCAGACCAGACATTACCTTATTTGATTGACAGAGCAGACTCAAGGAGCTGAGTGGCCTACTACTGCTCCTAATTTATGATAAATATTAGCAAGGACAGCTGAGAGAACTCCCCTGCTTCTGATAGTGGCCATCAGATATTTTGCACCTCTCCAACAGGAATAGGCACTGTTAAAAGCTGATCCAATTGCAGAGGTTTAACATTTCACAGAGGCATGTGAAAAAGTAACACTAACCCAAATAGTAGTTACATGTTGCTATGTCATCAGAACACAGGACTTGTTTTTTTCACAACACACTCCTGCAATTTGCCTTGATTACGAGCATCAATTAAAGGTTACTTGAATATGGAGGATGATAGGAAAGTTATTGCAGATAGGCAGAAGGTTGGCTGCCTGTTTACTGTGACAATGTCATCCAGTGGGAGCAACTTGATGTTGAATAGCCTAAGGAGGGTGGCGGTGTGGGAGGTTGCTACTAAAAATACAGGACAGCAATTCAGGATAGAAATGGAGAGCATATGGAGAAGATAATGTCTGAAAAGGAGACAGATAGGCCAGGTGCAAAGTAGAAGTTGTAGCAGAATGGCACAATGACAGAAAGAATGGAGATTTAAGCAGAGAACTTCAGGAAACATGAGAGCAGGAGTTGGGAAGCAAAGAAATTTGCACAATTTTTTAAAAAATAAAAAGCTTTTTCAGTGGAATGTTAGAAGCAACATTTATTTTCGAGGACTTAGACACATTAAAGTCAGTCACAACTGAGCACAACTTCCTTTGCGAGGGCTAGGAACTTACTAAAGAGGATCCTCCCCAGAACTTTGATTCGCCAATAGAATCCGTGAGATCTAGAAGATGGCCGAGGTGTTGAACACAATCCCACCTCCCCCGCAGAGACTCAGTAGGCTTGAGCAGCACATGTGGAAACAACGAGCGAGCCAGGGCGAGGGGAGAGAAAACACGGAGTTAGCATTTGGAGCCCAATATGACTTTTCCTCCGAACTAGAATGGAATATAGAAGAAGGAGACAAAAACAGAAACTGCTGGAAAAGCTCAGCAGGTCTGGCAGCAACTGTGAAGAGAAATCAGAGTTCACCTTTCGGATCGAGTGACCTTCCACTGGAGGCCAGCAGTTTGAGGATGCGTCAATAGACCTGAAACGTGAACTCTGATTTCTCTCCACAGCTATTGCCAGGCCTGCTGAGCTCTTCCAGCAAATTCTGTTTTTGTTTCTGGTTTGCAGCATCCACCGTTCTTCCGGTTTTTAAACACAGAACGAGACCATTCGGCCCATTATGCCTTGGTGGGACTACCCAATTCGTCCTGTTCACCCAGTCCCCTACTCCCTCCCATTGGGTAAGTGCGAAGGAGGTGAATGCAAAGAAAAAACAGATGCGAACAAAATACGAAAACACAAGCAGGAAAAGTATGTACTTAACGGACAAAGAGAATCCAGCAAAAAACGAAAGTTATTAAGAAAGTACCTACTTTGAGAATTACTCCCAACACAAGCAGCAGCGTCAGTAGCGGGTGAGCGACGCCATGTCGATAAGGGCAGCAGGGGCATGATGGGAAGGGGTCAGGTGCCGGCGGATCGATGTGCTTGGTGTTTGGCTGAGGGGCCTGGAGGACTTCTTCGGCGAGGGGGGGGGGCGAACTCCGATCGGTGCGCTCAGTGCTCGGTTGCTAGGCGCTGGCTGTCCTGACAATGAATGGCTGCTGCAAGCATTGAGAGACATTGGGGTGAGTTTGTGAGCTTCCAGCACAGGCTTTGGCCTCCAAGCTGCACCAGTTATTCCTCAAAGCCTCCCCCCCACCTTATTATCAGCTTTGACAGACCCTGGAGGGGGTTGTGTAATCTTTTATTTTATTCTCTCTCTTCCCCATCCCCCTGATTTAATGCCCCTTTTGTGTGTGTGTGTGTGTGTGAGAGAGAGAGAGATTTGGGGAGAGGATTGTAGACCGTGGGGGGATGGGATGTGATGGGGGTGGTGGGAAAAACTGCAAAACTTTGTTTTAAAAATAAAAACCTGCTGCAAACTGCCCAAGCTGCACTTCCCAAATACTTCCAGAACTTATATAGCAACCCCCCAACCCTTCCCCCGCCTCCTCCCCCCACCTCACCCCTCCACTCTTGTGCCTGCTCTCTTTCAGTGATTTTTCAAGCAGTGAAAAAAGTGACGGTGAGCAAACTTGTCTTGTTTTTTCACCTGTTGGGCTATGAACCCCCTTTCTTTGAGAATTGGGTGATTTGTGGAGTAACTGGAAAGAATCAAAACACTAATGGACACTGAGTGTTTTGAGGGGGTTGTCCATTATGTGTATTCTGCAAGCTTAGTCAAAATAAGACACAACCAAGTTGTTTATGATACGTCTGCTGAGCGAGTTCAATTGCATGCAGTGTTTTACATTACAATTCTGCAATTTTGAAAACATCTTGATAAAGTTTTTTATAATTTTATAATTACGAGTCAGTCAAGATCAGATTGTTTAATTCCAAAGGGAAGGATTTTTGAAATTAAATTTTGTTTAAAAATGGAAGCCTATGTTTCAATCTCTGGGATTGCTGTAACTGTTCTCAGAGAAAGGAAAATAAGTTTGTGTGTTACAGTGCATCTCCAAAAATTCCTTTTCAAACCCAGCCCAGTACAACAGGATTAAAGTCCGCGTTGCAGTCTGTAATCAGCCTGGGAAGTCTCCATTCAGCTATTTATGGCCATGGGCACACTTTAGTAGCTTGCTACTAAGTTGGAAGCATGGTTTGATGAAGGCATTGGCTGGAGATACTGAAGAGGTCCATCATACTGTTGGGACATAAGACACCTACCTTTCCCCTGCAGCTGACCCACCTAGACCGACCTGGGTGAGCATAGTACTGCCACTGGATAGCAGATCTGCTTCCCCAGCATGAAAACCAATGACCTCATATGCTTAAGTTCAGAAAAATAGAAAACTCTGGTCTACTGCTTGTGAGTGACATGACAGTTATTTTACCTTGGTACAATTGCATTCTGTAGTTATGTTGCACTTTACAATGCTGCTTTCAATTTCCTTCTGAATTTGTCTCTATAACAGAGCAGGCAGACTATCTAATGCATCCGTGTTCAATTTTCTTGTCATTCTGAAATTGTTTTTGAACTGTAGAATGTCTATAATCTTTGGTTTGTCTTTATCTTTTCTCTTTCTTCTGACATTTCTCCAAATTCCTCACCCCTCCCCACTCAACCCTTTTAAAGGCCACAACTCATGCAATAGGGTTCAACTGCACTGTCATTGATCTTTCACTGTCTGTGAGGATGGTGAATGTCAGTGGGCTATTCAGGGAATGAGGGAAACTGAGCCAAGTCTAATTTGTGTTATTCCGTAGTTCCAAATGTGGGCTGTTTCTGCCGGGACTCACTGGGTAGCGAGCAGGAACTTCTGTCTAGACCAATGTCCACTCCACTGTGCTAAGACAAGCTCGCAGTACTACTGCCAGCAAAACCTGAGATCTTCCTGCTCTGTGCAGCTCGGTTACAAGCTGAGCTGTTGCTTTGTCCAACTCGAGCATTGGGGAGCCACGTTGACATTTAGAAACTGGCCGAAACGGCTTTTGACCTGGTTTGATCTGGACCAGTGACCTGGCTTGCATTTCACAATGAATCAGATTCATGAAAACCCTTCACTGGTACTAGCTGCACTTGTGTTATGCTTACAAATTCTGCAGTTCGTGTGAATAAATTATTAGAGCACTATAACTTCATATTACTGGGCACTAACACTTAGGATTAGATTCTGAAGCAAGTTTGTGATTGTTGTTCTGTAACTGCAAATTTAGGGTGCAACTTTGATCAGGAATTTAGTTTCATGTTTCTGATCTGATAGGTCGAACTTTACTCACCTGTAGCCTCCCCTCTCTCTCCCTAAATTGTGACTTTCCAATCTTTTTTGATCATGCACAGATATTATTCTTTTGAACACAAGAATTACCTTGCCTTTAGACCCCTGCAGTTTCCCCTCTGATGAAGAGTCATCTAGACTCGGAACGTTAACATGCTGTCTCTCTATGGATGCTGCCTGACCCACTACAATTTCCAGCATCTGCACTAATTTCCTTCTACTCGTGTACAACCTCCTATTTTAAATGCTTCTTTCTCAAGATTCTGAAATAAAGACGTCCTCCAGCTGCAGGTCTTCACTTCCTCCTTTTTGAACACCAAGCTTATTTAACTCTTATTACCACCTGATTTGTCTTTTCTTCTGCTCCTTTGAACCCATTGAAAGATTTGCATTCTTTTCTGTTAACCACAAGACATGCCAAAGTGTTTTTATGAAGCGTAGCCACTTGTTGTAATGTGGGAAACATGGCAGCCTAATTTGCACATGGTAAGATCCAACAAACAATAATGTGTTGCCTATTGAGCAATTAACGTTGGTTGGGGTATTGAGGATAACTCATTCACCATTCTTTGAATTTTGCCATGTGATCTTTTACATCCTGAGAGGGAAGCTGGGGCCTCAGTACAACTTCTCATTTGAAATTCTACCTCCAACTGTGTAGCGCCCCCTCAGTACTACACAGAAGTGTGACTCTGGAGTAGGGCTCAAAATGCTCTGTTGTAGTCTTAATGGAAACAAGTTTTGAACCCAGAAATGTACCTTCTGTGAGGAGAGCCACTGTGGGGTAGAGAGTTTAGATGATGCTGCTGATGCTATAGTGCCATTCCTTGTTTACTCCATCCCTTGTTCATTGTTTTGGGGTGGAGTTGCTGAGTGAGACCACATATTCCCCCACTGAGGGAAGAATGGGTAAATCAAAGAGAAAGAGAGAGGCCAGGATTTCATTTTTTGCAGGTTGCCAAGAGGCAAAAGAGAGAGTTGTTAACACCCTTCCCATTCTCAGGTGATGAAGAAAGAGTCGTATTGTTGATCACCTGAGGGAGAGGTGAGATGAGAGACCTGATCGCAAAGAGGCTTCAGCAGCCTTCAGTCACATGTCCTAACCTGTCCCTTTGACATCACATGCATTCTCTGTACCACATCCACAAAGCCCCTTGGGTTGAAGTTACTGCATCTACATATTGTTCTTCCGATCCTTGCCCATGACGGACAGTGCTTTAGTGATGTCCCTGGATCGACTGAGGTGGAGAGGATTATACTGTGTCTGAGATTTTGGTGTCCTAAGTTGCATAGTTGCATCTTATCAACTTTTATAATATTTCCACTGTATCTGTGAGAAAACACTGCAATAAAATTAAGAAGTTTGTACATCCAGCTGAATGAGGCAGTAGTTTATGCTGATCATAGCTTTACTAGACTGTTACGTGCAAAGACAGGTTGTTTGATGAGGAAAGGTTGGACAGGCTGGGCTTTTAACCATTGGAGTTTAGAAGAGTTAGAAGTGCCTTGGTTGAAACATCTGAGATCCTAAGAGGTCTTGACTGGGTGGATCCACCCACGTTGACGCATCAGTCAAGAAAGCACAACAATGTCTCGAGATAACATGATGTAGAGCTGGATGAACACAGCAGGCCAAGCAGCATCAGAGGAGCAGGAATGCTGACGTTTCGGGCCTAGACCCTTCTTCAGAAATGTCTCGACTTCCTCAGGAAACTAAGGAAATTTGGCTATGTCCATAAGGGCTCCTACCAATTTTTATAGATGCACCAAAGAAAGTATCCTGTCTGGATGCAGCACAACATGGTGTGGCAACTGGTTTTCTCCAGACCACAAGAAACTGTAGAGAGTCGTGAACACAGCCCAGTCCATCACACAAACCAGCCTCCCATCCATTGACTCCATCTATACTTCCCACTGCCTCGGGAAAGTAACCAACATAATCAAAGACCCCTCCCACCCCGGTTATACCCTCTTCCATCAGGGAGAAGATGTAAAAGTTTGAATACACGGACGAACAGATTCAAGAACAGCTTCTTCCCCGCTGTTATCAGACTTTTGAACAGACCTCTCAAATGTTAATTCTGATCTCTCTCTCTCTGCGGCAGTAACACTGTTATCTGCACTCTTGTTCTGCTACCCTGATGCACTCGTATGGCACGATCTGCCTGTATACCACACAAAACAACACTTTTCACTGTATCCCTGTATGTGTGACAACAATAAAATCAATCAATCTTGTGAGTGAATCCAGAACTAAGGGTCACTGCTTAAGAAAAGGTCGTCGCCCATTTAAAACAGAGAGGAAGCAAAAAAATTTCTCTCTGAAGAGCGAGAGTCTCTAGAACTTTCTTCCTGAAAAGTTGATGAAAGCTGAGTCCTTGAATATTTTGAAGGCAGAGGTGAAGAGATTCTTGTTAAGCAAAAGGGGTGAAAGGTTATTGGGAGTAAGTGGCCTTGTGGATTTGAGGTTACAATCAGATCAGTCATGATCTTGGGGAATGGTGAAGCAGCCTTGAGGGGCTGAATGAACTACTTCTCTCCTGATTGTTATGTTCGCATATAACACCAACAATGAAGTCTGTTGTCAGTGGCGAGAACAATTTGAAATGATCCTTCATTATGCTTATCAGTACTGCGTTAAAGGTTATGGGCTTAATTCTGATTTCTGTAGCACTTGATATATTAATATGCAGGTGGCAGGCACTGCATTG